AGCTCACACCCACAGGTTTGGTGTGAGATCCATCAGATCCCTCACCAGCACCACAGAGATTCCCTGGATCACACGTGCCAGCTCACACCCACAGGACACAGCAGCACCTGCATGGCTCCATGGGCACCACATCTGTGTTGTGCCTGCCTGATCTCTACAGCTCTGAGCAGGCTCTGGGGCTCAGCACCCCTTTCAGCCAAGCTGCTGAGTGCTATTAAAAGGCTTTAGAGGCAATGTGCAGAGCAGCTGAGGTGAGAGAAATGGAAATCCAGGAATATAATGTGGGAAAGGTGTAGCCACAAGTCTCTTCCCTAAATTCCAACTGAGCCAAGCTCTTTTAACAGATCTAATATCCGGTCCTCATTATTCAAGAAAAGCTTTTGTATTGTTAAAGAAAATGATGGAAAGAACTTAGAATTTTAAAATTAGCCTAGTAAATCATCCCTAGGTACAGTCATAAGTGAGTCAAATTTAAAATCCTTAACTAGTGAACTTCCAAGAACTTTGGACAGAACAGCAGCAGCTGCATTGGGCACCCCCCCTTCTTTTCCAGTGCAGGGAAACTGAGGTGCAGCTATGGGAATACCTTCTCCACCACTAACAGTTACGGCTCTGCAATTACTGACTTAATTGCTATCAGTCAAAAGCAGTGTACTGCCTGAAAGTCCAAGCACCTGAGATGCCCTCAAAAGCCAGGAAGCATCTGAAAACTCTGGGAGAAAAGAGCTGCTGGGAAGTTTCTGTAAGAGGGGCAGCAGACAACTGGCTTTGTCTCAGCCTGCAAGTCAGTTTCTGCTGTAGTGAGCTGGAAACAGTCAAATATCACACTGAAACAGCAGCCAAATCCGCACACAAACCACTCAGTCTCACTTCAGCACTCTGCAGTGCTGCTAACAGAGAAGGCTCCTGGCTCTGGGCATGCAGCAGGAACCTTTCTATGCTCAGGGGCAGAAGAAAGAAGTAAGAGCCTCCTTACCCCCTCCATGTGGATCCGGGGATTGGTCGCCAGCCGGTGCTGGTGCAGCTGCAGCCCCCTGGGGACCCTCCTGATGGAGGCGGGGGACGACAGGACCCCCGACCTCTGCACCGAGCCAAACCTGCCGGCGTTCTGTCCGCACCGGACTCCATCCAGGAGGCGAATGAGGAGCAGGTTGGAGGGCAGCTGCTCAATGCTGCCCAGGACGAGGGTCCTGCACTCGGGGCACCGCAGCTCCTTCTGCGATTTCAGGATCCTCTGCAGACAGGGCTTGCAGAAGGTGTGCTGGCACGGCAGCACTTTTGCTGAGGCGTCGAGCTTCTCAAAGCACACGGGACACTCCAACAGGTCAAGGAGAGCCAAGTCATCCATCTTCAGCGCAGAGCCCCTTCAGGAGCAGGGCCGGGGCCGCCCGCAGCCCGCATCCACCGGAGCCGCCTGAGATGCCCTCCCGCGAGAAGCAGAGCC